TGATCCTTGAAAATATGATTTTCTAAATAGGGAACTCGATTCCCAGTTGAAAGGGAGAGAAAAATTTTTGAAATTCACCCACCTTATTCCGCAAGATTTGGGCATCCATACGATGGATCTCTCATTCCTTCATACGGGCCACTCCTTTGAAAGTGGTGGAGAAAGCCATGCCAATGCAGGACTTACTGGCCCTTGCTAAGTGCATCTGTGACTGAAAGGCGTCTACGTATCATTTGGGTTGAACGATCCGTCATTTTTGTCCAGGGGAGGTAGTTTGAAGTCCTTGGGCATTGGGACGACCAAGAGTTCAGGAGATAGAGAGGATGGTACAGAGAGGAGCGGAGTGGCTTTTATTTCACCCGAGCTTACCTCTTCCTTACCCTTGAGCTCGGGCAGGTTATGCGTTGCAGTTCGGTGAGCTCGGCGACGTCTCCACTGCCTTTTTGTAGGCTCCACATTGGTGCTGCTGGGCTCGGTATTGTCAGACACAGTTTTCGTAGGGAGGGGGATGGATTGCTAGTGATGGCTGCGGATGGAGGGATCTTGCCTTGAGTCTGTAGCCAAGACCTCGAACCGGTTCTCCACAAGCGGGGCCACGAACTCGGAAAGCTGAGGTGATGTAGGTCTGGCAGGCTGGGACCCTCCCGACCTGACTACATGCAGCGAGGCCGGGGTAACTGGTATTTCCTTCCTCCCGTGGGATGAGACTTGACTCTTGAGAGGATTCTGGGTTTGAGAGGCCTCTCCCCGACGAGAAGGACATTCGTTCTGATGGCAAGGCATGGTTTGTTGCGCGGCCGGATGTCGAGGAGGAAGCAGCTACTGGGTCTGAGTCAGCGGAGGAAACTGTTGCTGGTAGTGATGCTAAGAAACTTGTTGCAACACTTGCTGTTGATATAGTTGGAATTGCTGGACCTGTTGCATTTGAGCTTGCATGGCTCGCATGCATTGCACAGGTCTTCAAGCTGGTTTTGGGCGGTCACCGGAGGAACAAGGGAGGGTTCGATGAAGGCAGTCCCAACCGTGAAAGGGAGTGGAGCGTTCATGGGTGCCATTGTTTGAGGCACGTTCAGAATGGGAACTCCATCCRCGGAGAGGGGGACGGTGAACTGTCTAATACACATCGCTGGGACCTGGAGTTGCTCCCCAGCGGTGTCCATTTCCGCATTGCGCCCTACATTGCTGGAGGAAGCCATGAGAACTGAAGTTTGCAAAGTTTTGGTGGAAGGCTTTTTTGAAGCATTTCCCACAGATGGCGCCAAATGATGGTGCGCAATCTGGTCACTCCTAACTGGCAAGGGGCCACACTCCAAGCTAGCAACGGACGGTACCTGAGAAGAAGAAGAGAATGAAAGATTCCTGGGGAGCTCTCCCGGCGGGAACACTCTGATGCTTAAGTTAGAACTTTGAGAGAGAAGATTATAGGGAAAATGAAGAAAGCTAGAGTGTAGATAGCGGGAATGCAAAATTACCCTTGCTTTCTAGGGGTTGGAGTTCTTATATAATGGTGTCCTGTCAAATCTGACATAACCGCCTCTGATTCTCTGCCACAGCCGTTACTTGCCAGGGCTACGCAGGTCACTATTGCAGGGTATGGCTCTGTCAAGCGGGGGACACCTCTCAAGTTTGGCAGGCACGACGCCGCCTGGCAAGAGACGTGGGTGCAAGGCTCCAGGTTTGGCAGATATGGTTGTTAGGGAAGATCTTTATGTGATACGCTGAGCTGTTTTCCTGTGAGCTACCTTGCACCGAGCTACCTTGTGTCGAGCTGGAGGTGCCATATTGAGGTTATTCTACCCGAGGTGGCCTACTTAGGCCTATTGGAACAAATTTATTAGGAGGCTCCTGAGCTCACCCCGAAGTGCCTTGAGCTCGGGAGATCCCTGTCTTGTAGTACCCTGGCTTGGGATGCCTGTGGAAGAATCTTAGCTCAGGGTGTTCCCTTCTTGAGGAGGAGCTCGCGACTCCTTTCTTGGGAGGAGATCGGGGGCTCCTTTACTTGGGAGGAGCTCGGGATAATCGGAGTGTCATCCGGTGCCGAGCTTCCATGTTGGAGCTTGGTGAACTGGTCACGCTAAGCTGTTACTTATGTTGAGTCACGCCCACGTGTCCCCCTATAATGAGGTCGGGGCAAATCACCCTCCATCATAAAGCATGTTACCAAAGCAGTATAATCCACAAAAAAGTTGGTTATACAGAATCAGATTAAGAAACAAATATGGTGGATATACAAAACAAATCAGATATCATAGTTGGTGCATCCTAGACTATGCATAATACTCAAACCTAAATCAGCTATTGATCCACACAACAGAAAACGACACCAATGATCCACAAAGGAAAAACATACGAAAAGAAGTAGAATTAAGAAACAAATATGGTGGATATACAAAACAAATCAGATATCATAGTTGGTGCATCCTAGACTATGCATAATACTCAAACATAAATCAGCTATTGATCCACACAACAGAAAACGACACCAATGACCCACAAAAGAAAAACATACGAAGAACCAACGAGAAGAAAAGAAGTAGAATCAGTTCTAGATACACTTACAATTCAAGAGAAAGAGAGAGAGAGAGTCACACCTGGTAATGTCGTTGCCGTTATCTAATTGTCGCCTGGTGGTGAGAAAATCAAGATCGAGATCGAGATAGATAGAGAGAGAGAAGGCGGGAAGAGCAAGTTTAATAACACTTGTCTGTGTTATCCACCTTATGCCTCCCCTTGCCACATGGCAAATTTTAATGCTGCTATAAACTTGCCATTGGGAAGAGCAAGTTTAATAACATGGTTCAAATAAAAAAACACTAGTTCCTAGTAAAAATTTTAATGAATGAGCAAATTTAATAACACTATTATGCCACATGGCAAATTTAATCACACATGTCATACTTTTGTGGATGCAAATTGTCGTACTCATGCCATGTCATCATAAAAGTAAATTATAGTTCAGTTGTTTATTGGAATGACTTTGGTGTATAAATTTTCTTGCAAATCAAAAACTAGAAAATGGCCTAAATGGGTTTTCTCATAAAAACCTTCTCGGCAAACAAACACATTATGAATAGCTGACAAAATATTTTTTCCTTTTTTCATTTAGAACCTCTTTGATTTCTTCTTCAATGACATTTTTTTTTTTTAAATCCTCATTATGTTTACAACTGATTATGTTAATTAACAAATCTAGAGCAAGATCAATATGTGCAGGAGAAGAGAAGATTTGTAAATGTAAATAGTCTGAAAATAAGTCAGTAAAGTATTTTTTTATTTGGTCTTGGCCTTCAACCCAAACACCCACTTAACGGTAGATCCAAGTTTTCTCAATCATGGCCCTTGTTTCTTTCTCGTATTGTGGGTCATACTGAACGAACGGTAATCATACGGTTAACGAAAAGGATCTACCACTTAAAGGTGGATCCGAGTTTTTCAATCATGGTCCTTCTTTCTTTCATGTATCGTGGGTCCTATAGAACGAACGGTAGATTATGGGAAACTTTTTCAATCTCATGTTCCATTCGTTTTTTCTTTGATCGAGAATTAAAAACCGTTAGATATTCGCCACGTATAAATAGCGACAACTGCCAAAACCGTTGTCCTTCGCGGGTCGAGAATCCACCGACGAGCAACGCTTTGCTCCATCTCCGTTGTCTTCACGCCGTTGCTCGATCTCCGATTTGCAGGACTCCACTTCTTTCATTCTTTACAGCGTCCTTTCTAAAGGTTTTTCTTTTCTTTTTGTTCTAGGGCACCCAAATGGATAGTGGAAATGTTGGTGAAAATGGAAATTGCTTGGAATATCAATGGAATGACAATCTCCGTGGATCTTCTTCTTTGATTTTCTTGGGAACTGGTTGTTCTAGCGCGGTCCCGAACGCGATGTGCTTGATTCAACCCACCGATCCGCCCTGCAAAGTTTGCACCCAGTCATTTTCTGTTCCTGCCGAGCTTAATCCCAACTATAGGTTCGTTTATTTGGTTTGCATTGTTGAAGCTTGTTTAGGGTTTTATTCGTCTGCCTCGTATTATTCTTGCTGGATGCGTGCGCATTATTTCTATTTAGGTTTTGATCTGATTTTGAGTTGCCGGAGTTACTTGTAGATCGTATACATTGTGAGAAATTATGCGGATTTGTTCTGCGGTTTCTTATGGATTTTATTAGAGTTTATCTTCCTTTTCCTTTTCATGCGTTCTCTTGTTTTCCTCCTTTTTTTTTTCACTAAAGAAACAAAAAAATTTCATAAGTTGGATAAGACTATGAGTCATCATGGCTCAAAATTGTTTTGGATCGAAAACAGTGAATGGTTGAACCATAGATTCTTTTTCTTTTTCCGTTTCCGTTCTTTTCTCTGCTATGTTCACCTTATGAAGCTAATCATCAAGTCAATCTTTAATCAGTTTTTGATTTTACAGGTGCAACACATCTCTTCTTATTGATTATTGCCAAAACAATGGTGTACATAGTTATATACTAATTGATGTTGGAAAGACCTTTAGAGAGCAAGTACTTAGATGGTTTACTCGCTATAAGATTCCTCGAGTGGATTCCGTAAGTACATATTCCAATTCTTTTATATTTCCAAATCAGTATATCAGGAAAATCCTCTCATTGTTCAGTGATAAAGATTTTGGCTATTAGAAATTTATGTTGCATAATCATTTCCACTCCTATGTAGTTTTATCAATCCCACAAGGCAATGGCTAGTCATTTTGGCCGCCCTAGGTAATGTCGTGACTAGTAGTGCCTAGGTTGATTAGTCGACCACAGAAAAAGACATGTTCTTATATAAGATGTTGATGCACTCTCATAAGACTGCAAATATGCAAGAAAGTAATGATACAGAACATTTAGTTTTCAACCTCTATTTTGCAAACATGAAAAGAAAAGYTGGATAGGATAAGATAGAATTTTTCAAACTTAAAAAAGAAAAAAAGAAAAGAAGTGTAACTTGACTATTTGATGTGGTCCCCTTGTTTATGGCAACTCCAAACCAACAAATGACTGATTCAAAATTTAAAAAATTTGAATAAGTGGCAATGCTGGGGGATGGACACTTTTGGTCTAGCAGGAGGCCTTTCCCCCCTTTTGGGATACTGATATTAATGAATAAGTGGCAGTGTTGGGACTTGGGGTATGGGTCCTATACATGGGTATCATACATGGACACTTCAAGTTTTACTGTAGATTCTGTGTCTGATACCTTCCAAGCCTTTTTTTTTTATTTTCGAGAAAAGAAAAGATAAGGTAGTTATTTTTTTTTGGTGAAAAAAAAGCCTTCCCAGCCATGTCCTCACCATTTCTGGGTATCATACTAATCATTAACGATTTGGGCCAATTTGATTCTACCAACTAGCTAGATAGGATTAAACTTGAAAGATGTTTCTTAATCCCATTGAAATGTGTATACAATTGGTGGCATGGATTAAGATGTGTAGCCACTCGGTCCAATTTTCCTTGCTGATGTCATGTATGTACTATATCTAGGTTATAGTACATATCTGGGTATCATAAGAGTCATTAGCAATTTGGGTCAAGTTGATTCTGCCAACTAGTTAAATAGGGTTTGTAATCTGAGGAGCTATACTCGAAGTAGTAAAGAAGAGAAGAGAACCACTGAAATGAAGAGAATGTCAAACTGTACTAGCCAGCCTTTTATTTATAGATGAATGTAGTACAAGGTACAAGAAATTACTGGGTGCCCCTGATTAGTGATGGGACTCCCAGATGACTTAAATCATTAAACAGGATTAGGCCCATTAACACAGGCCCAGTTACAAGATAAGWTAAACATAAGWMTGGGCTAATAAKAACKCYTATCAGCCGAACATCACTCTAACATTCTAACACTCCCCCTCAAGCTAAGCATGGATATCAATCATGTTTAACTTG